GCCCCACCACCCCTCATACCCTCCACCTGGGCAGAAGCCATCCCCCCCAATACCCTCCACCTGGGCAGAAGCCATCCCCACCCACCCTGGTGCTGCCCTGCTGCTGGAGGATACGGTCAGTGCCCTTGAACAGTGTCTTGCCTGTGATCATCTCTGCCATGATGCAGCCCACAGACCAGATGTCCACTGAAATAGAAACCCTGATCAGCTCCATGGGCAGGGGGCCGGAATGAGACGGGAAGGGAGGAGACAGTGACGCAGCCCACTCACCCGGCTCCCACCCCAGCTCAACAGCCTCCCTGGAAGCAGCCACCATGGGCTCTCCGTGAAGAAGGGGGGAAGCAGATGGTGCAGCCTGAGAGGGCCCACATCTCTGGGCAGCTCCTCACCCGTCTGCGTGTAGCGCATCCAATTCAAGATGACCTCGGGTGCCCGGTACCACCGAGTCACCACATACCCAGTCATCTCACTATCGGCCTGCCTGGCCAGGCCAAAGTCCAGGATCTGTGGGAAAATTTAGGAAAGTGGGGTCTAGGGGACTCCGAAGGAGTGGACAGGCCACCCATAATCCAGGACACCCCAAGAGGGCTGGACTTGAAGCCCCCAAGCTGGGGCCTCCTGACAACCTTCCAGGGCTTGAGGTCACAGCCCCAGACCCCAAACTGCCTGAGCTCCCCCCTGTGGCCAGTGCACTGAGCCCAGCTGCACTTCGGAGCAGGTGCCCTCTCCCTGCTGTCACCTGCTGCCGACAAGGCCTCAGCCCTGCCTGAACTAGGCAGAGGCCTGGGGGCGCCTCCCACCCTCACCCACAGCAGGTACGGCAGTGGGCTGTATGACTGCCTCCTGGGGCTCAACCACCCACCCGCTCCTCAGCTCCTGCCCAGAGTCTGGGGTCAGGTCCCCTGCCCAGGCCTGAGGACAGGTGGATAGATGGCAGATCTGAGGGAGCCCATGCTCCAGCTCAGGGACCGCTGCACACACCTTCAGCTCACAGTCTTCGTTCACAGCCAGGTTGCCGGGCTTCAGGTCCTGCGGGCAGAGGAAAGGTGGCCACTGCGTCCCACCCTCCCAAGCATGGGCACAGCCAAGAGCCTGGGTGGGACCTAAAGACAGGGCCACCAGACCTGGCCCCCTTGCTCTCTGCAGCCCTTCAAGGATGGATGAAGGGACCTGGGAACCAGGCAGGCTCCCAAAAGGGGCTGTGCATGGGGCATGGCTCAGTGCCCCCACACCCTGTCAGATCCTCATAGGTGGGACGTGGAGGCAGGGAATTGTGCCGGAGGAGGGCTGATGGGTGGCTTCCCCTCCAGGACTCACTCTGTGGATGATGCCAGCAGCGTGGATATACTGCGGGGGCAGAGGGTTGGGCAGGCGTCAGTACACCGGGGACTCAGAGCCACAAGACCCTCCTCCACCCGGCCACCAGGCCCTGCTGCCTCCCTGCAGCCTCCCCGCAGCCTCCCCTGGGGTCCGTACCTTCAGCCCCTTCAGCATCTGGTACACGAGGAACTGGATCCGGTCCTCTCCCAGCTTCTCATGCTTCATGAGCTTCCCCAGGTCAGTGCCCATGAATGGCATCACCAGGTAACTGTGGGAGGGGCCGGGTGCCCTCAGTGGGCAGACAGCCTCTGCATCCTGGAGGCCCACCCAGCAGGCCCAGGCTGAGACCCATCCCGCTCCAGCAAGTGCCCCTGGGAAGGTCACCCTGCAGCACCTGTCCCCACTGGCCTCAGGGTCCTCGAAGCTGCACCTTGCGGTGCCAGGCTCTATCCTGACCCAACTCCATCCCTAATGCTCACGCCTCCCTCCCACCCCGAGGACTGTCAGGCAGAGAGGAGGCTGCATTTGGGGTTTTTGAACCCTCCACTGAGTGCCCTGCGTGCCAGTGTAGGGGCTGAAGCTGCGTGGTGGAGGCAGCAGGGCTCAAGTCTTCACAGGCAGGGGAGGGAAGCAGTCAGGTTTCAACTTCAGAACTCTGTGCCAGAGATGAGGGAGGTGCCTGGGGGTGACAGGGGCTCACAGGGCATCTGGGTCAGTGGGGTCAGCTGGGCCAGTGGAGACAGACACAGAAGCATGGTATTTAGCACCTCCCCAGCGGCCACTGAGGCCAGCGTGGGTCCTTGACCTCTGCAAGTCAGGCGGGAGGAGCCTGTTGCCCTCTCCAGCTCTTCCGCAGCCTGGCCCTTCACTCTTGGCCGACAAGGTGTGAGTCCCAGGGTGGTCGGCTACAGAGCAGGGGCAGGGCGGGTCCCCCCTGCTGCTTCTCTTGTACCCGTCGGAAAAGGTCAGCAGCTCCCATTACGGGCCACACACTTGGTGCCAGGAAGGTCCCGAGCACGGGACCTTCCTCTTAACAAATGCCCAGGTCCAAGGTTCACACCTCCAGTGCTGGAGAGGGCCCAGGTGCCAGACTTGGAGGGAGGCAGCAGCCCCAACTCTGCTGAGCAGTGCTAGTGCCCGTGGGTCCCAGGAGCATGTGGGGGAGGGGGTGGGCAATGTGCATCCCCCACTCAGCCTACAGGAAGAGAGCCCCATGCCAACCTAGAACCTGAAGCCAGTACCCAGAGCTGCCCAACACCCCTTGTGCCTGGCGGCCAGCCCAGGTCAACACTCACAAGTCTGTGAAGTCATCCAGGGTCTCGTCAGGAGTGAATACGTCCAGCAGCCCGATCACCTGGGGCGGGGGGAGGGCAGGTAGGGTTGAGGGTGCAGCAGAGGACACGGGCTGGGGCACCCCCCAAGAGTGGCACAGTCCCCTGAGCAGGAAACCCCCTCTGCAGCTGCTGTTGTCACGCCCCACTGTCCAAAGGGCCTGGCTCTGCCCACTGGCCATTGGCAGTGTGGCCCAGCCCTGGCACACATACCCACAGACAGGTTATTTTTGGATGGTGACAGCCGAGATCTTCTGGGGGAGGGGCAACCCCAAGCCTAGGCTGGTTTGCTATCCAAAGGGCTCCTGCCCCTTGACCCTTTCTTCCATCTTCTCCCCAACCAAGCAGACCCAGGCCCAGGGTGCGGCAGCGCTATGGGGAGAGGCCAGGCCTCTGCTGGTGAGGCCCAGGCAGGCAGCACCGTGACCAGCCAGACCTGGTCCCCACAACGCCCCTGGTTGGGGAGACGGACAGTGGACAGATCATAAGATAACTGCCACCTCAGCATTTTGGGGTGACAGGGCCTCCAGGGTCCCAGAGAGGCCTGGAGTTTTGCATAGCCAAGGACAGAGGAGCAGGTGGACGTGTGGACGGAGGGAGACACAGAGGGCACACACAGAGTAGCCGAGGCAGGAGGGAGAACACTTGGAGAGTTTGAGGAACACAGAAAGGGAGGCCAGGTGGCCAAGGCCCAGGCCAGGGAGGGGCTAAGGAGAGGCCAGAGGGAGCCGGCAGGGAAGCACACAGCAGGTGAAGGTTTGGCTTTGATCCCAAGAGACAGGGAAGGATTTAAACAGGAGTGTGATGCTAAATGCGTCCTCCTGGCTGTGGTATAGGAACCAGCCTGAGTGAGGCAAGAATAGGCACACAATGGAAGGGCAGCTCCACCGTAGCCACGTGGGCCAGACCTGAGGGCAAGAGTGTGGAGAGAGAAGAAGGAACATGGGGTGGAGGGGCGTCCAGGGAGGCTGGGAGCAGCCAGGACTGCAGTCATGAGAGCTGGAGGGTGCCTGGGAGAGTGGTTTAGCCCAAGACAGAGAGCAGGGTCCTGTGGGCTAGGGGCCACCAGATGGATGGACTTGGCCTCTGTGGTACAGGGACCCACCTGGAGACGGCAGGACTGGGGCCTGTGGCGGAGCCTCCTCCCCCGCTGAGCAAGGCACATGGCCTTGCAGGGCCTTAGTCCCCCAGGAAGATGCCTTCCAGGGGAAGACCCGAAGCCGCAGGCCAGGAGCCCAGGGGGTGGACCCACAGGCACAGGGAGCAGTGACTAAAGAAAAGCCCTGGTGGCCAGGCGCGGTGGCTCACGTGTCATCCCAGCACTCTGGGAAGCCAAGGCGGGCGGATCACCTGAGGTCGGAAGTTCCAGACCAGCCTGACCAACATGGTGAAACTCCACCTCTACTAAAAATACAGAATTACCGGCTGGGTGTGGTGGCGCATGCCTGTAATCCCAGCTACTCGGGAGGCTGAGGTAGGAGAGTTACTTCAACCCGGGAGGCGGATGTTTCGAGGAGCCAAGATTTCACCATTGCACTCAAGCCTGGGCAGCAAGAGCGAAATTCCATCTCCAAAGAAAAAAGAAAAGCCCCCGGCTCTCGGCTGGACAGGGGCAAGGCACAGGCAGGTGAGTGGGTGGGTGGGGTCAGGGGGCCGCAGGGGAGGAGCTGGATAAAACCAAAGGTGGGGAAGGCTGCACTCCTGGGACAAGGCCTGGGTGTGACTGGGAGGTGGTGAGATGGGGGCAGGACTGCTGTCCACCACAAATGGACTTCACAGGGCCAGGGGGGTGAGCTGGGGTCAGGGTGGGCATGGGAAGCCTCAGAGAAAAGCACCCACTCAAGGGGCTGAGGGAGTGGTGGGGGCAGTTTGCTGGCAGACACAAGGACTCATTCTCCCAGGGTGCTGGTGGCTTGGATGACCCAGGAGGGTCCAGAGCGTGTGACCCTGGAGCTAGGATCCAGGCGCCCAGACAAGGGGCAGGGCAGGAGTGACATGGGGGGCAGTGGACAAGTGGAACTGTGTCCAGAAACGGGAGCGCCCCTGGCAGAAAGGTAGGGCTCTCAACAGCCAGCCACGGCCATGGCAGAGGCCCAGGGCAGCTGTGCATCTCACGGGGCTCCTGAGGGCCCAACACTCTCCCTACGTTCTGGACGCGCCCCCTCTCCCCTCGCTGGGTCCGAAACAGAGTGGGCTCCACAGAGGAGCTGGAGAGGGGTCCGGATGGGGAAGAGGAGAGGTGCCCCTTCTAGGAAAATCGTCCAGCCGGGAGCATCCTCTCACCACGGGCTTCCTGGCTGGGGGCAAGGTTTGGCATGAGAGCTGGAGGATCCCCTGGGCCTGGCCAACTCGTGTCCCTGACCAGGGCCTGGCTGAGGCGCGGAGTTGAGGGGCTGAGTCCTTCCCGGGGCTGGCAGAGAAGGGGGAATCGCCTCCCCAAGACAGGGGCTGGGCCCTGCTCTCCTCCTCCCCTGGGGATCCCCGGTCCGGTCCCCGCCCCGCCCCGCAGCCGCCTGCTGAGGGGGCGTCGCTGGGTGGGGAAGCCGAGCGGGGCCGCACGACTCACGTTCTCGTGGCGCATGTGCTTGAGCAGGCGCAGCTCGCGGTAGGCGCGCTTGGCGAACAGCTCGGACTGGAAGGGCCGGTACAGCTTCTTGATGGCCACCTTGGCGCCGGTGCGGCTGTCCACCGCGGAGCTGCGGGGCACACCGCTTAGCGGGAAGGCCGGCCACCCCGCGCAGGCCCCGCCCGCCCCGCCGGCCGCCCACCCGGCCCGCGCTCACCACACCGCGCCGTAGGCGCCCGAGCCCACGGGCTGCAGGTCCCGGTACACGACGCGCACCTCCCAGGCCGTCTTGGTCACCTCCTGGCGGTAAAAGCCGCTGCGGGCGGGCGGCGGAGAGCTCATGGCAGGCCCGGGCGCCGCCCACTCCGCAGAGCCCGCGGGCGGTTCGCCCAGGACCGGGAACCCGGGATCGGCGGGGCTCCCTCGGCGCGCGCCCCGGGCCGGCTCCGCGCGGCTTGTCCGCCCGCCCGCCGCTGGTGCGCTCCTGCTCCCGGCTCTTCCCGCAGGGATGTCCCAGGTGCCAACCCCTGCGCGACCCCAGCCCGGACCCAGGCAGCGCACGGCCCCTCCCCCGCCCGGGGACCAACCGGCCCGCTGGCCGCGCGCACGTGATGCCCTTGTCCGCCCTCCCGCCCCTCCGGAAACCCGAGGCGGCCGCCGCTGGGGGAGGGCCGGAGCCTGGGGGGAAGCGCAGGGGGAGGGGAGTGCCGCCCCGCAGCTTCGTCCGGACCTAGGGCCGGACGCGGCGCGGAGATACCCCTGCCAGCCTCTGCCCTTTGGCTGAACTTCCCTGCCTTGGGGGATGAGGAGGGGAGTTCTCAGCAGGATCCCCGCCGGGCGCCAGTCCTTACTCCCCACAGTTCAGGGCGCTAGGCCCATCCGTGACAGCCTGAGAATCGACTTCTGTCCGCAGCTGCAAGTCACTGTCCGCCTGCCCTGAGTTCCCTAGGCTGAGCCCTGTGTTCCCAGGTTCACCCCAAGGATGCCCTGCCTGTGCCTGACCGTCGTCCCCGAACGTGGGGTCCACCTGCACCTGTTCTGCCTGCATCCCTCTGTCTCCCAGACGCCTCAAGCTGCATCCCCAACCCCACTGCTGTGGCCACTGACCCTGGGCCTCCCAGTCCCATAGGTCCCCGTGGGCCCTTTTGCACCCCAGCTCCTCCCCCTCTCCTGTCTGTGGGGTGCCTTCTCCAAGCATTGCAAGTGCCAGTGCACCTGCGTGTCCCACCCCTGCCTGTTCTGTCCTGCAAAGCTCATGGCTGCACTCTCCTGCAGGGACGGGCGCCTGCTGGGCCCTCAAGCCTGTCCACTCCATGTGGGCATTGTCCTCCCATCGGTCTGGCTCCATCCTGGACCAGATGCTTCTCACCCTGACACCCCTTCCCCAGCCCAGTGATCTGGGTCTCAGGAAGGATGGAGGACAGCCCTGGAACCCACTGGGCTGGTGGGTAGCAAGATCCCTAGGGCCCCTTGCCCTGCCCTCCTGCCACGAATCAGCAGCTCAGCCGCTCAAGGGTGGGAGTAGCTTTACACCTGGGCTTCGGGCCGGTCTGTGGCATTCACCAGCTGCTGACCAGTGAGCAGGGGTAGCGGGGCTGCCCAAACCACAACTGCCTGTGGCCTGCAGCCTTTGTGCCCTGGGCTGCCGGTGGCACTCCATCCACCTCTTCCAGGAAGCCCTGCTTCCACTGCTGTCCCCCTTACTCCCCGTGATGGGGCTCAGGGGTCCAGCAGACCCAACACAGACCAGGCATCTGAGGTGGAGCTGTGTCCCCATTCTGCTCCCACCTCCCACCCCAACACTGGACTTCCCCAGGACTGAACACTACACTGACTAGGCCCCAGGAGACCCCAAACTCCCAGACAGTTTCCACCCCCCACACAAGACCCAGGCGAGGGCACAGGCTGTCCCTGGCCCCCGGAGATGCTGCCTGACCCAGCATGGCCTGGACCCTCTCCCACATGTAAGCTACCAGGTAGAGTGGGAATGGGACCATCCCATACATCCCTCAGGTTAAAGTGGCCCCTTTTTCCTTCACCAGAAAGGAAAGGAAAGCTATTTTCCTTACCCTGCCCAGCCTCACCCCACCAGGGATAGGCAGACCCTTACTCCCTGAGACACCCAACTACCCCCCAGCCAGCCTCCCTGACCACTGTAGGGAGGGGGGGTTCTGGATCTTGGCCAGAAGCCAAGCCTGCCCAGTACATCCCCATAGGGCAGCTGGGGTCACCATCTGGGTGGCTGTCACACCCTGTGCCCACAGAGCCTGCCCATCAGCCATGTCTTCCCTTGGTCCCCGGGGCTCTCAGACCCTCCAGGGAGCAGGGAGGGTGCCAGAAGATGGCCGCTGTTCTGACTGAGGGACTGAGGGATCTGGCCAGCTGGAGACAAGTGATGAAGAGTGACCCAGACACTCCCGCCACCCCCAGCAGCAGGGATGGCAGGGCAGCAGGGCCTGGAGTGGCCTTTGGATATGAGCCAAGCGAGAGGGAACCTTTATTGTGCACTCCTGGTGCAGGCACTTAACACCCAGGCTTCCCTGGGCCCCTCAAGGCAAGAGGTCACCGCCTTTCCAGGGAAAAGCCACACTCCCAACTCGGCTCTGAGCAGGGTCCCATCTCCGGGGTTACTGGATCAGCTCCATCCTGGGACAAGGAAAGAGGAGGACTGACCCGCAGACCAGAGCACCTCAGATCTCCGGCTGCAGGGCCACACGGCCGGCAGAGGTAGGAAGCTGGCCAGGGTGCTGGGGCAGGAGTGTCCGAATCCAAGTCCACATCGACGTGTTCAGCCTGCCTTAGAGTTCTCAAGGCTGAACCACCCCCACCTCCAGCCTCAGGAACCTGCTATAGCTCCCATGTCCGAGGAAAAAGCCCCTGCCATGCTCACGTGGTTGCCCTTCGGCCCACTGGAGCCTCTAGTCTGAATCGCAACATCCCTCAAGCATCAGGAACTGAGGGGAGGGAAGGCAGCAGCATGCCCGCCCCAGCTCAGGGTTCTCGCCAGACATGGCTGCTGCCCCTTGGATGCCCACAGATTCACATGCACATGTGCCCTGACATGAACACGGGGAGTGCATGCCCATCCACATATGCCCACACCCATGGGTGAACACAAGGCTCCAGGCAGCTTTTCTTTTGACACCTGGTGGTTGTCCCTGCCCAGCCTGATGGCACGCTGGCTCTGCCTCTCAAGACCTGTGGGTCTCAGCAGTGACAGGGCAGCCCCTACTTCTAGGCTGAGCAGCTCCAGCCACTGAGACCTCTCCCTTTGAGTCTCCAGGGTTCCCGGCCCCAGTGCGCCCTCCAGAGCCCTGGGACAGAAGAGATCCCTTGGCTGACACTCCCCGTGGGTCGGCCTAGGACAGACAGGGGTATTTCCCAGGGGAACTCCTTTAGCATCCAGGACCCCACAGTCAGGTCCCAGTGGAGAATGCAGTGGCCAGGAGGGGGCGGGAGGACCAAGGTAGGCCTAGGGACACTTGTGCCCAGACTCCTACACATGGCAAGCACATGTACACACATGTTTGTGCATGCATACATGTGTGTAGATGCTCCTGAAGGCAAGGGGTCCTAGGCCAGGAGTCAGTGACCATAGGAGTACGGGAGGCGCCTCTTGAGGAAGCCACATCAGCTGTGGAAAGGTGCAGGCCCAGGCCCGTTCACAGGCTGTCAGGGGCTACCGGGCAGCACCTCACTGCTCAATCTCCAGGCTGCCAGGCGGCTTCGGTGGCTCTGGGGGCTTGAAGCTGAGGACTTCCTGGTAGGTGAGCTCTAGGAGGTGAAAGGAAAGGGTAAGCTCGTGCCTCCCACAGCCCAGCCCCCCACCTGCTTGTCTGGTACCTGCCACCCAGCCCAGGCCCACCACACTGTGACAGCAGCCTCAGCACAGAGTCTGGGAGCCAGAACCTGCCCTGTGCTACCCCGCAGCCTGTGCTGACACCTGCACGCCCTTCTACACCTGACCAGTCTGGAGAGGAACTGGAGTACTTCCTGCCTCTGGGGTAATGCAGCCCGCAGGCCCCTGGACCCAACCCCAGCCACTGCCATGCCCACCCTTCCACTCCTCCACGGTGCGCTCCTTGGCCTCAACGCTCTCATCGTACGGCTCGGCCTCTGGCTCATCCTCAGGGTCATGGTACTGGCTGAAGTAGGCGTGGGCCAGCGCCTCGGCCGCACTGACCCTCTGGTCACTATCCAGCACCAGCATCCTTCCAAGGAGGTCTATGGCTGCAGGGGAGCCAGTGGGGGTGGGGGTCAGCTCTACATCCAGGGCCAGATATGGAGCCCAGTCTAGCCCCAGGGCGGTCCTCACCCAGGGGGTTGGCTCCGTGGAAGATGCTGCTCAGGTCCTTCTGGGGCATGGGGGGCAAGGACTGGATGTATGTCCGGGCCTGGGAGCAAACAACACCACCTGGGGAGGCTGCTCACTCTCTGCCTCCCTGGCCCCAAATTGGGGCTTCTCTCAGCAAGCCACTACACTCATTCACTCCAACAAGCCAGGACAAGGGCATAGGCAGACCGGTGAACCCCTCTGCATGGAGCTGCTGGCTCTAGCTCCTCACTTAGCCCCTGATGCCTGCAGGAGCTGGGCACTCCTTGCCCCCAGCCCACCCCCACTGCCATGGCCAGGCACTGCTTGCCGGGATCATGGCTTAGCACCCACTGTCTCTGGTGTCAGGAATGTCTTTCCTGTTCTCCTGTTCCCCTGTTCTCCTGCAGGGATTGGGCACCTGCCCTGGGCTCTATCCCACCTCGTCCCATGCTCCCCACATTGTCCCTTCATTTCAATACTACCCTCTCCCCCAGAGCCTGGGGGCTCAGCCAGCAGAGGGAGCTGCTGGCTGGCGGGCACCTACTCACGTGTTCTGAGGAGATCTTTGCCAGCACCTCCGGGCTGGGTGTGCCCACCACTTCCATGATGCGCTTCAGCTGGTCAATGTCTGCGTCACTCAGGAAACACCCACCGGCCAGCCACGGACCTTTCCTGGGCCCTCAGACCCAAGATTTGGTGCACTGCCCAGAGCCCACTCTCTTACAGCTGAGGATGGCCACCCCAAGGTAGCATGGCATGGGGGTGGGCAGAGGAGGCGAGATCCACCAGAAGGGGCCAGCACCAGCCCCTACCCTATAGGAGGGGCCCCGTTTGACCCTGCTCCCCAACCTGGGCCAAGGATACAGTCACTTCCCGGGAAGAGGGCCTTGCCCTGGAGTAGCTCAGCCATGATGCAGCCCACGGACCAGATGTCCACTGTGTGAGGGCAGGGGGCCTCCGTCAGTGTGCCCACCCCACATTCCTCCTCCAGGAGACCCGAAGTCACGACCAGACCCCAAGACAGGTAGACCCCCTCCTCTGCCACATCCAACCCTGGGCAGGGGGAGGAAACAGCTGCAGGGCCAGAGGGGGCCAGCACCCATCATGTTCTAGCAGCCTCTGAAGGGCTGCTTTTGAATGTGGGTCCCACATTCTTGGGGACCTTGCCTGCCCACCAAGACCGAGCACGCAGGGCCAGGCCTTCCCCCTGCACCTGTCTGGTTGTAATGCATCCAGTTGAGCATGATTTCAGGGGCCCGGTACCAGCGCGTGGCCACGTAGCCCGTCATCTCTTCATCTGCCTGGCGGGCCAGCCCGAAGTCCAGGATCTGGGGCGACCAC